AGGCCCCCCAGTTCGTGATGGGAGCGGTTGGCAAAAGGTTATAAATGATGTAGTTGGAATAACTCTGAATATTACTGATTATCTTACTTTATTTTTTCAAACAAATAAAAATCAAATAGGTATGGCATGATTTAAAATATGCAGTAAAAAGCAAGCTGCGCCATAACGCTTCCGAATCAAGGGCTACAGGAGGTGGAATTTTTACGCAGCGTATTCTTTCTCCACTAGAGGAGTCTGTGGCTAATTTGGTTCAATTTAATAAGCAAATTAATCCCGGAGGGTTAGCATGTTTTACACCACCAGATGACCAACCGTGCACAAGCTCTCAAGTTTTAAACGAATCAAATGTAGACCGTAATACTTCAGAGTCTATAGAAATAATCTCCAACGTTATAATTTATGACAGTGATGAAAATAGAGAGAATATTCCACCCTCAAGAACAAACTCAACGAAAACACCCCCGGCACCAAACAAAGAAAGGCTAACCCAAAAGAAAACATCTTCGGCGACGAACCGGGAACTTTTACTTCAAAAGCAAACTGAAGTACAGAGTAATTTGTATGAAGATGTGAAAAACTCACTTAAACGTATAGAAGGCCATTTGAAAGAAACAGAGCGCTACGAAAGAAAGCGATTCAAACTAGAGGAGGAACGCCTAAGACTTTACAAAAAAGAACTGGAGCAAAATGAAACTCAACGCAAAATCAAAAATCAACAAAGGAAAGAAAAGATACTCCTTAAACAGGAAAAACTAAAAATACAAAGAATGAAGTTAAACATTTTGGAAAGAAATAATTAAAAAAGTAGTCTTAAGAGTAATTTTGAATTAACACTTTTATTTTACACTTTATGAATAAACAAAAGACTGAATTGCAAAACATAAATAGGTTTTAATTAATCAGAGTGTTCATCAGTGAATTTCTAATGTTTGCAGCTGTTAAATCCTCAGGTGGCAGGACGTCGTGTCTATACTTGTTTCTTCACTATCTTCATTTATGGTCGTCTCCTGTGCAACTTCTCCTAAATGTATACAAATATTGTGCAAAGCTGCACATATATTTATAATCGATTTCGCCTTATTAAAATCGTACATTAATCGCTGAGAGCTCAAAAGGCAACGGAAACGATTTTTCATCACACCAATAGTTCTCTCAACAACGTTTCGAGCCCTTGAATGGCACTTATTGAATGTACTTTGGTGTGTACCTTCTCCTGCGCTTCTATATGGAGTTATCAAAAACGGCTCTAATGGGTAACCGGCATCTCCTTAAATAAAGATGTTGCAGTTTATTAAAACAAATTGGAAGTTTTAAAATACCTAATAACCAAGTATTGTGCTCTCCGTTATTATATTGGGCTTGTAAATATGACCTTATGTCACTTGATCTCCAAATGAGTGAGTCATGACATGATCCAGGATATCTCGGGTCTATGCTCCTAATTCGCATTTTGTGATCACATACCTTTAGTGCAAAAAAAAAATTAGGTAGGATAGAAATGTTTAATGCCACTTACCACCATTGTGTTTAAACTATAAAAACCCTTCCTGTTGTAGAAATGTGGGCGTTCTTCAGCACTTGGAGTTCTTATTGCTATGTGCGTTCCATCAACACATCCTATTACGCCAGGGAGACGAAACTTTGTATAAAAATGCTCTTTTATTTGTAATTTTTCGTCGTTGTCTGGCATTTTTATCCACTGGCAGCAAAGTTTCTCCTACATTAAAGGTATCAACTCTTTAATGATGAGACTGACGGTTGGTTGAGCGAGGCCTAGATTAAACTGGTTTCCAGCTCCATGCTGGTAGCTGCCCTTGGCCAAAACGTTCAAAGTGGCAGCTAATTTTATGGCTGGTTGCACAGCAGTACTACGAATTGCGTCTGGTAATGCAATTTCTTCCAGTACTAACTGAAATGCTTGCTTCGAAAGGCTGA